ATTAGCCAATCATGCTATATAAGCTAAAAATTAATCTTACCAGAGCCAGATGAGCCACTGCTGAGTGCTTTACTACCCAAACTTTCAATTTCTGATAGAAAACCTATTTGTAAAGAGCATATGTAGAAATTATATTGTTAATAACAGAGAGTCAATAATAAGAACTAAAATGTATTCTTTCTCATGAAACTTTATGAAACCGATGTTGCCGTCATTTTATAATAAATTTTTGATCATATTTCAGACAGATTGCATATAAAGATCATTCTTAAAACATTTAACTGGTAATATTAGATCTAAACTTACTCATGTTTTAATGCTGTTGATCGAAGACGAAGTATGAAGAAAAATTTCAAAAGTGATGAATTTTTGTTTCAATATTTCCTTTTTAAAGCAACGGAAAATTGTTTTTTTTTTAATAGTAATAACAAATTCTTTCTTCACGACGCCCGATTCCTATTTTTCTCTCTTTACATTCTTCGTAACCAACAACATCTGAAAGAATAAAAACAGAAAATTGGCGTTCAAACTATGCTTCTCTACAATGTTATTCGAGCATTGTCTCTCTGTCGTATTTTTCTTTTCTTTTATGTATTCGTCGTTATAAATGTTTGTTAAGTGGAGAGAGATGGGCGACAATAAAATGGTTGCTTTCCTTTATTTTTTCAACCTTTTTTTCATAAAAGTGCATTTATATATAGTTTTAACGGACAAAACAAAACGAGACAGATCAAGGTTGCTCGAGAATAACTATAACAGACATAAGGTGATTTATAAATCACAAGAAAAGAAAGAAAATAAAATACAAAAACAAGAAAAATACGAGAGTATAGTGAATGTAAATGTATAATAGGATGATATGAAGAATATTACAACAAAGAAATAGATCAACAGTAACACATGCAAAAATTTAACAAGAAGTGAGAATCGTTTTAACGCGCTTAACAACTTATGAATAAAATTCTTATTTTTCTTTCATATTTAGTTAGTTTTGTTTCTATTACATTATGTTGTTGAAATATTTGTTAGACTTGCGTTTTTTATATTCAATCTTCGATGTATTATTTCTTTACGGTAGTAATGTCTACGGTGTTTCAAAATATAAGTATAATTGTGAGTTTTTCTTCGGATAATTTATTGTGTTGTGTATCTGTTGACTGTTGTTGAGATGAATCATTTTCTGGTGAATAAATACATGTTGATGATTTCATTGCGTTTTAAAAAAGTTTTAATATTAATCATACCATAAAATTTGTTTAACCTCTTTCTTTAATGGTTCAATAAATACTTTATCAAATTAATTATTAATAAATTTCGATATGAATAAAATAATTGAAAACATTTTTATTATTTTTATTTTTAACTAAATCAAATAAATATAAGTATAAGAGTAAAACGTCTATTATATTCATTATCAATGTCTACACTACACAACACAATTCATTTTCTTGCTAGTATACTTAAATTTAAGGACTTATTCATATTTATCATAGTTCTTCATACAGAAAAATGAATCAAGATAAACATTCCTCAACGAAATATAATGAAAAATAAATGAAAGAATTTTTTGATCGTTTTCGATATCGCAGTATAACACATGTGTTTTATCATAGTGACTCTGTTAGAAGATATATAAAAAATGAATCAAAAATTCACTCGATTACATTACGAACTTCATCTTAATATACAACATAATACCGAGTTAAATAAAATTATTCAAAAGATAAGACATTTATTTTCTGTTAATAAAGAAATACATATAAAATAATAAGATGGTTATGCCTATACCTTCGTGTAGATAGCCATTAATTTTATATGATATTACAAAATAAAACATTTCAGATGAGATTCATTGAAATTAAATCAAATTCTTATGACATTTTGAGAATGAATGAATGAATGTGGGTGTGATTGCCAGTTGGTCATGATACTCTTGTATACATAATTACAGCTCATCATCAAGTTGGCTTATCATTATCGAGGTAGTACCATTTATAATTTGTGACGTACACGCATTACATATAGTCTGTTGCCGAAAAGGTTTTCCCTTGTTAACTAATTGCTTGTTTCTAATAATATCTTATTATTTTAACACATCAATAAATGTTTACATGAGATGAAAGAATTAACACTAATTGTGTGAGGCCATTTTGATCTTTGCACTCGATAATGAATAATAATACATTTTTAGTCGACCCCATTTGTTCTTAAATAATCTGGCAGAATAATTTTTCATTCTTTTCATATACAGGAAGGATGTAAGAAAACAATATAGAAAAAAGTAGAAATGTAGAAATCTTCTGACGTCAATGCAAGATATAAAAAAAAACGTTTCAGTCTAGTGAGCACAATTTGAGAATAAAATCGTCCACATCATACAACGTGTATTTGAAAGAGTACAATTGAATCGATGTCTGTAATAACTGAAGAAATGTTGGCTACTATACAAGCCATTCAGAATGCTCAGCTTGCTCTTGTTCGAATAACCACACCAATTTTGCTTATTTTTGGCAATATTGGCGAGATTCTAAACATTATCATTTTTGTTCAACGTATCTTTCGAACTAATTCTTGTGCCATATATTTCCTTGCTGCTTCATGCACACAACTGTTCTTTATCAACTGCACTATTCTTCCCAATGGTCTTTCTCTCGGTAAGTTTGCAAACATTTGATGCTCTATATAGTTATTATGATTACGTAGGATATAATATCGATCCAGCGCAAGTATCACTAGTCTTTTGTAAGATCAAATTCTATCTTACATACATTGCGGCTATTCTACCACCAAGTTTTATGGTCTTAGCTTGTATCGATCGATTGTTGTTGAGCTCACGAAATGCGAGAGCACGTTCATGGAGTCAACCACGATTTGCCTATCGATCGATAGGTTGTGTATCTCTATTCTGGATACTCTTTTCCATTCATAGTTTATTTGGCTCCACCATTTTTTCAAGATTAGGCTATACACAGTGTTACATTCAGCCAGGTTCCTATACACTCTTTGTAGCTTTATATTCAATCATCATCAATTATCTTTTACCACCAACACTCATGGCTATCTTTGGCTTACTTACCATTTCTAATATTCGACAAACACAGAGACGAATTCATCCAATGACAAGATCTGGATATTTGCATCGAAAAGATCGACACCTTTTGCGCATGTTACTTTTTCAAGTGCTAGTCAATATTATATGTGCGATACCAGGAGGCGGTTATCAGGTATGAGTTACTTCAATTTTGCCATATTAGAGAGTAACATAACGATCTGTCATTTTAGTTGTATAATGTAGTATCAACCAATTGGCAAAAGAGTGCTGTTCAAAACACTTGGGAGTTGTTTTTCTATGCATTGGCCTTAACTCTGTTCTACATTCCGAACTGTATTGGCTTCTACATTTATACTCTAACAGCGAGTATATTTAGACAGGAACTCAAGCGAATAATAATACAATGCTATCGTTATTTCTTTCCTCAGAAACGAACACGAATAGTAACAGCGATGGCCACTGGCACATAAACACAAATGAAATTTATGATATATATTATTTTATTCAAACTGCTCCTTTTCTGTCAATATATTGTATCTTTTTGTTGTCTGCATGTTTCATTTAGCTAAATGTAGTTATCATAAAGTGTTCTATCCAAAAATGGAACATTCTATCATCAAAAAAAATATATTTATTTTTCAAAACATTCGTCATGTGATTCTTTGCCAAATTGCATGCTTCATTGCCTTCAAATAATATCTGTCTCATTTTCAAAATCCAACCTAGGAACATAAGCACATAGGATATTAAATTCGTCCATTCTATTTTATTGTCTACAACATAACCTCATTCTGATTCTCATTCTAGATTATTTAAAATATCTTGAGGGTGTGGGTGTGGATATGAATGAGAAAATTACCCACACCCACCTTCAAGATGGCTTTGCTTGTTCACTGGTTGCCGGCACGAGAAGTTCGGAGAATTTCTCGGGCATTTTTCAAACAATCAGATGACTTGCTTTCAAATCGATCGACTGACAAAAATTTTCGTTAGACGTGAATGAGAAGAAGAGAGAGTCAGAGAGTTGGTATTTTAATTCGGTAAATATTTTATGATTTATTCATATCAGTTTATCGAATAAGAGAGAGGAAGTACGTGATTTTGATATCATAAAGATTTTTGCAAAAGGAAAACGTTTTATTGGCTCATGTGTATGACGCAATAGCAAGCGACATATCCAGGCATCGTTATAAAGCCTATTTGCTCAAATATTGAGTTTCTATCGATAAAACAGGACGTATGATTTGATTTCTTTTTCCTTTGTCACCCACAAAAACAAGTCTTTCAATACGTCAATAGAGATGAAAAAAGTTTCATTCATATTCAATCAACAGTCATTGAGAATCTAGTATTATGTACATGAGAGTCTTGATGAATATTTCGATCGCAGATATCCAGCTTCAGAGGCTAATAAATAGAAGTGATACAGTTTCTTTTATTCTCTAAGTAGTATTTGTTGGAAGTTAGATGCATCAGATCATTTTTCGCGTTTCTTGTATATAGTCTTCATAATGAAGTCTTCAATATTCGAGAATAAATCTGGACATTCGAATTAATTGATTACAGCTGTAGATTTCAAATGATTGGGAGTTTTTGCGATCTTCAACATTCCTGCACAGAAATCAATAGATATGATTTTCAAATACAATTTCAAATCATAAATATCTTAGAAACATCTCTCACACGAACTTGAATCAATACAACGTGCGTATGTTGAAGGAATAACAGTATCGATGAAGAAGTTCGAGGATGGAGATGTGTGCTGGTGCGTGAACATGTCAGAGTGAGGATCGAGATGATACTCATCTCTTCACTCATATTCACATCCATCCCATCTCGTACCCTCATCAACCATGTCTGCATCTTCATCTTATCTAGAATTTGAACTTGATGATCTGTTTATATATTCAAAGAGAATTTTATTTTAATTCGTTTTTTAACATAAGAATTATTTCAAATCATGTTCTATGTTACCATGCTTATTTTGAGTAGCTTGTTGATATGTCGGCGGTATATCATTGCTTGAATTGATAAATGTACGGCAATTGAGAACTTCTAAGGATTGAAAGGGCGGTTGCTGTGGATTCTGAAAAGCAATTCGAGATACAAAACCAAATTCTCTTGCAGCTCGCTGTTGTCGTCGTTGTCGACGACGATAATAATAAGTAAACAATATACCCGCCACAATAACAAGAAAAGTAATAACTCCGAACACAATCAATATTGTTCTCCCATTAGTATCCAGTGGTTCACTTGGCACATCAATGCAAGATCCATATGTATTTCCACATCTTTTACTCCCTAAATATTTTATAGTTGATTTATGACTGATTATTATGTTAGCTATTTACCGGAACATGTCCATAAACGTGTACCCAAAGTACATTCCCAATCTATTTGAAAAATAATGATCGATAGAAAAAGTAAAATGTCTTACAATGCACAAACTATATCTTACAGTATGTTTTGATGCCGACTGCATGCTCAATTCGTTCAAATGAATAAAATATAACTAAGAAATAGAGGAGTCGACTGAGCAACATCAGATTTTTTTTCTGAACAGAAAATGCAATGTTTGACATTTGCTTTTATATTTATTAACAATGGAAAACATGTCTATCATGTAAATATTTATAAAAATATTAAATCGTATACACGCGTAGTCGACCATCTGTTGCAGCTATGATTGGAATAATTCTTGATAAAATTTTATTATCATAGGCGCATGTCATCTATTCTTCACTCATATTATTGCAACACATGTTGTAAGCGATGATGATAAAATTTTGTAATATTAATATAAATACTCTTTCTTTCCTGTATATGTGTTAACATTTATTTGCTTGAAATGACAACTTTCAGTGGAAAAATCATCGGACGTGATTTACGTTTACCAAATTCGATTGATAAAGACAGATTAAGGTGGGTACGGTTTTGGTTGTGGATGTGGGAATATCTGCAATAGAAAACAGCCACACCCACCCCTCCTGTTGCCGGTAAAAATATTCTACGCAGCCTTATGTATTGGATTTTTCTTTCTCATTCGTTCTCGAGTTTTTCTTTCACCCCTATTATTAATCATTTTATCCACACCATATCGAATTATATGTAATCTTCTAAAGCAACAAAACCTGCCATTCGTTGATTAGCTTTCACTACTGTCATCGATCCGTTATTCTCTTTCAAACTCTTATATCTTTAACTCTATACCTTCGATAAATTCATTCTTTTTTTTCTTTTATATATATATATATACAAGCATCTTAAAATAGATTAATCATTATTAGACATGCACCAGTTCCAGTAGACTGGGTACTAACCCACCTGATCTTTCATCCATTATTAGATCAATGTTGTTCTCTATTAAAATATGTAATTATTCATCGATTTCCAGTCTCTTCAAAAATTTTCAACCACCAGCATGTGCTTTGCCTACTGATTTACAAAATGTTGAGCTTGATGATATTACATCATTACAATATTAATTTCCATCAATCATTGGCAAAATCAGAATGCTTGGTAAGTTTTTAAAAATGATTATTTAAAGTTCACTAGAGTAGTATATGTAAAATAAAAGCGTTCAATCTGATTTAAATGTTAATTAATGAAATAGACAAGATTAAAGTAAGAAATACTTGTGTTTTTTTCTAGTAAATCAACTTCATTGTCCAAAAGATTGGGAACAGAGTGTGAGTGTGAGTTAAGGTGACAGACGCCAAACTCACCCCACACTCACACCCTCAATCAAACGAAATTTTCTATTGAAGATAAAAAACACAAATATGAAAAAGTTCTTCATAATCAACATTTAGAGTTTCATATCTTTCAACGAGACGACAACTAACTGTTCTATCAAAAACTACAAAGATCTTCTCCTCTATCATCATCATCAATCATCAGCATAAACAAAAAAATCACATTTCTTAAACGTTAAATATTGATCATACTGAGATATGCTGCGAATTTTTCAAATTGATGAATGTCTATGTAACAAATGAAATATATCAGACTGAAATAAAACAATATTCTGTATTTCCTCGTTCCCTCGACTGTAGTGAGGGTCATATGAAAAAAAATAATTTGTGTGTCTGTGAGTTTAGGTCAAAGATCATAAACACATCCACTTCAAAATAAAATAATTGACCAAGATTTTCTGTTTGTCAATGTTATATATATTTTTTTATTATGTTCCAAATTAAAATAATATTTTAATACACTCATTTTTATTTTATTTTATTTAATATTCATTATGTACTGGTAATAATAGAATACGAAGTAGATAAGATGAAAATATTTAGTAGTGATTATATACCTTTCACTTAACTATCGTTGTTGTTTTCTTTCTTTTCCACATTCATATGTGATACACGTGCTTGGATTATTTTTATTTTTTTCGTTAAACTTTTCTTATCTTTCTTTCTCATACTATATAACCAACACACGTTTTAACATAATACACACAATAACAACTTGTACTAATGTCTGACAAAATTATCTCTTATTTACTTACACTACCGGTAGAGCTTACATACCGAGTTTTGGATAATTTGGACATATCAACTATTATATGCTCAATGCGTAATGTTTGTATACGCTTTAATCGAATTGTCGATACATATCATCGATGTCAGGTACAGTTTTTCTCTATTTTTTAATCATTGATTTTCAAAATATTCATCACGATCATTATTAGATAAAAAGAAATATGCAGAATATTTTTTTATAAATTCAACAATGTATAAATTTTTAATCGATGAGAAAAATTATTATTTCTAGTGGACAAATATCTTCCAGGGTAAAAGTAGTTTTTCTTTCCTTTCTGTTTATGTATTAATACTTTAATCATTTCCACTTGATGTTCGTTTCCATTTCAGCAGCGTATCGATCTAAGTAAAAAAATAAAGAACTAATTTATCTGACCATTTCTTCGTGTTCACTAAATATTGTTATTTTTCTTCAGTTGAAATTAAAGATAATATCGGTCAATTTCCTCAATAATTCTTTTACATGCAACAGGTTTATGCATGACTTATGTCATTCTAATATAATGATCACTTTTGTTGAATATGTATCCTCAGTACTTTTTTGATTCATCATAATGATTTGTACGAATACAACTCTATCAAAGATAATTATCTGTTAACTGTTATATATAGGACTACATTCGAACAACCTGTAGGGTTTGAAGATTGAATTATAAGTCTTTTCATCATTTGAACTTTCTTTTACTTCGTATAGAACACCACTACATTGGATCTCGAACAACGTTGTATTACTGATCAAGAAGCACAACATTTAGCCAACGTCCTACAAGATAACAAAGTAACGTATTTCTCTCATATTTGTATTCTAGCGATCACTCATTATTTTACATAGACACTCACTACACTGAATCTCAGGTACAATGGAATTGATGGTGAAGGAATAGAATATCTTACCAATGCTCTCAAAAGAAACAACGTAATATTCTTTTCTTGTTTCCTTTATTCCATCACTTATTCATTATTTCACATAGACACTTACTACACTGAACCTCGGGAACAATAAGATTGATGGTGAAGGAATAAAATATCTTGCCACTGCCTTAGAGAAAAACAAAGTAACATTTTTCCTTCACTTGTCTTATTAGATCATTGACTCATTATTTCATATAGACACTCACCACACTGAATATCGGATCGAATGAAATTCGCGATGATGGAGCAATATATGTTGCTAGTATTCTAGTAAAAAACAAAGTAATATTCTTTCTGCATTTTGCTATTCTATCATTGATAAATTATTTCACATAGACATTGACCACACTGATCCTTGGATGGAATCAGATCAATAATCAAGGAGTACAATATATTGCTAGTTTTTTACAAGAGAACAAAGTAACATTATTTCTTTATTTTCTTAGTCTGTCACTTGCTAATTTTTTCACATAGACACTTATTACACTGAATCTTCAAGCGAATGAGATCAGCTCAGAAGGAGCATACTATCTTGCTACTGCTCTCAAAAAAAACAAGGTAACATCATTTCTTGAATTTTATTCTATTAATGGCTGATTATTTCGTATAAACACTTACCGTACTGAATCTTAGCAGGAATTATATCGGTGAGCAAGGAGCACAACATATTGCCAGTTTACTACAAGAGAACGAAGTAACATTCTTCTTTTTTTCTTATCTTATTATTTGCTTATCATTATACATAGACACTCATCACACTGGATGTTGCTAACAGTAGGATCGGTTCACAAGGAGCATTCTATCTTTCCAATGCTCTCAAAGAAAACAAAGTAACACTCTTTTTGCATTTTATTATTCTATCATTGATAAATTATTTCACGTAGACATTGACCACACTGATTTTTAGCTGGAATTCGATCGAAAACGAAGGAGCACAATATATTGCTAGTTTTTTACAAGAGAATAAAGTAACATTATTTCTTTATTTTCTTACTCTATCATTTACACATTTTTTCACATAGACACTTATTACACTGGATCTTCGATCGAATAGTATTCGCACAGAAGGAGCATACTATCTTGCTAATGCTCTCAAGAAAAACAAAGTAATATTTTCTTCTGATTTTTTTATTGTATCATAAACGAATTATTTCATATAGACACTTACCAAATTGAGTCTTTATAACAATGCTATCTATAGTCAAGGAGGAGAATATTTCATCGATCTCTTACAAGAAAACAAAGCAACATTTTGTTTCTCATTTTTCTTATGCTAACTTTCATTGATTGTTTCACGTAGACACTCCTCATACTAAACCTGGCCGATAATACAATCCTTGATAACACTGAACAACGTCTCCGAGATATACAGAAAAATCATCTGGAGCTAAACTTGGACATATAAATGTTACCAAAGCGAACTATCGTTCATTAATATTAGTATAAGAAACATATCTCAAAATCTTTTTTTATTTTATTACTTATGAATTTTGCTTATTTTGCATAGTTTTAACATTTAATTTAAAAAACGTCTTCTTTTTTACTCATGATCTTCTAATCTTATGAAAAATGTTGATACGAATCAATTCTCTGTACTGCGAGTTGTCATTATATGCTAATATTCTGCAAATTCATTTATTTTTATTTATGGTAAAGATTCATAGTGTTCATATCATTTACATAAGGTTTATTGCTGGCGTATCTATTGATGATAAAATGATAGTCATTAGAATGTCATCGAATTAAACTGTTCAGAAGAAAAAAAATGTCTTATTCATTCTTTAGATAATAGTTTGATTTCAAATATTAAACAGTAGCAATGTGGTGTATACCTATAAAAAACTAACGTTTGAACGGCTGTGCACAATCCCAACTCACACTCACACCTACCCTTGACGATAATCTTTAATATTCGATTAAATCTAATAATTATTTTTTCTGGTTTTAAAAGAGAATTGGATAATTTTTATTGATCTGAGCAATTCAAATAGAGCAATGAAAAACTCTATCGATTGATTTTTTTCACAACTAAGAAAATATTTTATTTTACAATAAATGAATTCTAAATTCTATTTAATAGTTTATCAGACACAGAATCATGATTGAAAAACAATTGGTTTATACATCTGGGCAAGTTGATTTTGTTTTATCCAATAATTGATCCTCGTAAATAAGAGAATCACCAAATTTATAAGGTAACGAATAAACACATATCATAATATTCTCCATCCATAATCCCCAATGACATCGAATAAACCATTGATGATGTTCGATCCACAATGGTGTACGATATGTCGCGAGAAATTGATCGATTTTTTCTTCATTTCTCTGATTATCAGTTGAAGGACAAAGATCGATATTCATCTTCATTTGGAAAACTTTCAATTGCGGTAGATAATTAACAATGATTTGTTCCCATTGACTTCCATCTAACTTTATAGAGAATATTTCAACTTTCAGATGACTAACATTGAGTAATAATTGTAATAAATTAATCATTAGACGTTGTGTATTTACTTTATATAGAATAAGTCTTTTAACAGATAGATTCTTGGGCGATGGAAGAAATTGATAAAGAAAAGGTATCTCATCTATCCGAAAGGTTTTCAATGATACGGCAATGTTCGTAAATGTGGTGTCTTCTTTAATAAATCGACAAATTTATTTGAATACCACCAATTCCCAAGAATTGTTAAGTATTGCAACGATGTTGATACGGAAGTAGGAATACAAAAATGACTTCTACTACGAAAGCAGAAATCAAAATAGCAATGTGTCAATTTTGGTAAATTCCAAATTTGATCAATTACACCTTGAAAATCATCGGAGGAAATGCCATGCAGTCGACAATTAATAAATTTCTGATGTGTCGAATTACGAAGATGATATAAATCGGAAAAGAAAAATTGGTCAATCTTTGAATCCGAACTAACATTTTCCAATGTTAAATAACGAAGATTATCGAACTGACCAAATGTGAAACCTGCAGATTGAAAATGAGCACATTGATATGGTGTGTCTTCATTATCGGAGAGTCGAAGATAAATTGTTTGATTCATTATAAATGGAAGATATGTTCGACAGAAACGATTGAAATCTTCTTTGAATATTGAACGAAAATCGACTCGACAATCTCGAAAATGAATTAATAGTAAAGAATTAAAACGAGTATTCAGACCACAAAAAGAACGAAAGAGGTCGACTACATCAAATAATTCAATAAATAACTCATTGGATAATGATTCTAATATCATCTTATTTGTTGTCATTACTGAGTGAAAATTTTAAAAAACGAATATATGATACACACCACTATGAAGAAAAATCCTAGGATGGATGGGTGTGGGTGTAGATGTGAAACTATAATAAACTACTCAAACCCATCCACCCACGCCCACACCCACCCATTTACCCTCATACTCACCGCTAATACTATGAAAATTTCCGAACGAAAATACAATAGATGCCGAAGAATAATTATTTTCATTTAACTATTGAAATGTTTTCCATATATGAAACAGATTTAAATAAGATTGGAAATCTTTCAACAATAATCATCAACAAAAAATTTGAAATAAATACTAAAAAGTAGATGTCATTGATCGTCAGCTATTTGATGAAACGTTCGAGTGAATAGGTGCTATTATGAATACAGTAAAAAAGTACGGAGAAGTACGAACGGGTATGAAGAGGCGACAAAAAGTATGGTCGAGTACAGAGACGTATGAAGAAAAATAAAAAGCGCAGAAGGTCGCTTATTATTCCGTGGCGTATAGTAGTGGCGTAACCAGAAATTTAAGGGTGATGGGGCTCAGCCCCAAAATCAGAAATGGACAACTCAGTTCGAAAAATGACGAACTCAATGTAACTCAATCCCATTCATTAACCTAGTTGAATTCAATTGAGTACGACTATTTAGTATGACTGAATTCAATTCAATTGAAAAAAGTTTCAAAGAGTAGTGATTGAATCGAAATTAACTCAAAAAGAATCGAAAATTATTTTTCAGAAAACAAAATTCAAATAATAAAAGTAATCAAATATCTAGTCCTTGTTTCGATTTATTTTGTAATTTCTGTCTACATCTTTCATATCTAGTTAATGAATCACATGTGCATTTACCTATATCTATCAGAGCTGAGCAACTCAATTGAGTTGAATTAATTCAAAAGTTTTTTTCGCGAATTGAATTGAATTAATTCACTTTTTTCTGCTGAGTTGCTCAGCTCTGCTCAGAACTGCCTAGTCTTTTGGATTTTTTGATTGTCAAGTTTAGTAACTAAAAAAGCTTATCAGCGCAGCCCCATTGGGGCTAAAAATGTGGAACTCACGTATATTCGCATCAAAATATCTGATCATGTTTAAGCGCTTTGTCTTCTTTTTTTGCTCAAATTTAGTTAATTTATAGCTATTTTTGACAATTTTTGGTTATTTATATTAAATTTGCGGCAGTATATAGCTATTTTTAACGATTTGTCATTATTTTCATAAAAATTCCCGCAATTTATAGCCATTTTCGTTATCTTTTCTTATTAAATTTGTAGTAATTTATGGCTATTTTTAACTATTTTTGCTTATTTTTATTAAAATTCTACTAATTTATAGCTGTATTTAACCATTTTGCTTATATTTTATAGAAAATCCCGCAATTTACAGCTATTTTTAACGCTTTTTCAGTATTTTTATTAAAATTTTAGCAATTTATAGCTATTTTTAATGATTTTTGCGTATTTTTATTGAATTTGAGGGGGGGGGGGGGAAGGGGGAGGGAGCTGGGAAACTTGAACGTAAAACGTACACTCATGATTTTCTTCAAAAATTTACGTGAGTTCCACAAAATCCGGGTGATGGGGCTTAAACGCTCGGTGATGGGGCTAAGCCCCATCTGGCCCCCCCCTGGTTACGCCACTAGCGTATAGTTCTCGCGTTGTCATGTTTTTTTTCCTGTTCTGTCTTACGATGTAAAAACAAGACATTTATTCCTCTTTACACTTACAATCAACACGTTTTTTTTTGCAATTATTTAAGAAAAATGATTTATTTAAACATTATTTTAGATATTCAGTCGTTGATTTCGATTAATAAAATTAGAAACTATTTGTCATAACATGGCTGCTGTACATGATGTTGCTGCCTCGAACGCACAAATTTTATCTTCTTTACAATCACCACCACATGTCGTTATAGTTGGTGGTACGTCAGGTATTGGTCGTGGATTTGCTCTTACCATCAATCGACTTTGTCCAGCCGCCCATGTGACAATTATTGGACGTAATGAGTCTGCTGCCAATGAAATATTATCTCAATTAGGTTCCAATGGAAGTTTCATTCGTGCCGATGTTTCATTGATGTCTGAAATTCGAACAATTACAAAGAAAATCAAAGCAGTTGACATCCTTGTTCTGTCTCAAGGCGTAATATCAATGGATGCTTTTGCACGAACCAAAGAAAATATTAATTATGCATTAGCTTTAAATTACTATGGTCGAGTTTTATTCATCGAAGAACTTCTTCCATTACTTCGAGCATCTCCACTTGGTGGTAAAGTTATATCTGTCTTGAATAGTAAAAAAGGTGATCCATCAAAAATCAACTGGAATAATATGGGACTCGAGACTAAATGTTCTTTTTTAGTAGCGATTAATCATGCCTTCGCATTTAATGATCTTATCATTCAATATCTTGCTTCACAACCAGAAAATAGCAATGTCAGTTTTATACATGCATATCCAGGTTTTGTTAAAACTCCTATTGGTGATAATTTACCCTTTTATATTCGACTACCTATGAAAGCGATGATAGCAATCACACGTGTGGCTGTCAGTCCGGACGAGTGTGCCGAATTTATGATACATGGTATATTAAAGGCAGAGAAAGGCTATATGTACATGGATGAAAAAGGAGAAACTATCACAAACAAAACAGTAGCAAATGAAGAAATGCTACAAAAGCTTTGGGAACACACTCATGAATCTATTTCGCGCACTGCTTCGTAATAAATAAACTATGTATTTATTGTATTGCCAAATTTGTTTTTGAATATATTAAGAAAATAAATCATAGGTTCTTATATAACTTGTTGATCATTATCGAGTATAGAAAATGCGAATTTCAATTAATAAAGACTTTTTCATCTATTTCTTAGCTTTTTCGACGAACTCTTTGTTATTTCAAGGTTGATTTCGGAATAGTGAAGAGTTGTGCATTCATGCTCGAAATTGATTTTACTTAGACGATGGCAAAAGTTCTGATCATGACATTAAGAATTTTATAATATTCTAAATGTTGAATGTTTTTTATAATATTTTATATTCTAACCATCTTGAGGATGTGAGTGAGAATAAGGATGGGTACGTGAGGTGCCGGTGTATGTGGGTAATCAAGAAACCGTTACCCACCCCTACAACTATTAAAAACTTCATTTAAGAGTAATCGAACAAATATTATTATATTAATCAAATTATATGAATAAAAGTATTTTCTGATCAATTCTTTGAATATTCTAAGGACAATAAACGATGAAACGTTATTTAAAATAAGAAAGTCAGCATACAAAAATCGAGTTTATATAAGAACTTTATTACACGCAAAATGAACATTATGGATAGTGTAGGTGTGAATATTCTATCTCAACCACACATACATCTATCATTGTAAATTGTTTTGATGCAGCTGCTGTTCAAAGTTTGATAGAAAAATGATTGTTTTTTGTTTAGCTAACGCTGCCTGACGATTGAATACCAGTATTTTGTTATGCTTGCCTTAAACGTTTCATGGGTAAGATTTCCGGAACAACAATTTGTGTCCTTCGACGCCAACAATAAAATAACTTTTTGCATTGGAATTTTCCCTTCGGTAATGACATGGCACTTATAAAAGGAAATAAACAAATGACATAATATGAAAAAAACTGAGCTTCCAATTGAAAATCGACACCGAAATCTTCGGATACGCTACATTGTTGCAATAGTTCCACAAACATGGGTGGAATATAAAGAAAAAAATAAAGAATCGATATAGATAACAGTTGAATTGTCATTTTTCGATGCTTTTTCCATTGAAGCTGTTGATGCATACGATGCTTTTGTAATAGAACGCGTATAAGAAGAGCAATACTAAACAAAATAATAGCTAGAGTAGGTAATATATTATTTGTTATAGTATCCCACAACGCAACAAATCTCAGCTCATAATAACAAAGAGGACGACCACATAAAGGTAAATTGTATTGGAACATATTTACACATGGTGGAAATAGAATTGTGACTGCATGAAATATAAAACAATAAATAAATATTGCAACTAAAGGAAGATAATGAATAAAAAAACGTTTCTTTCTTGTTGACATCCACTTATCATGAAAAATAAGAATGTATCGTTCGATCGAAGCCCATGCAACAAGTATTAATGCAAATGTGAAGATTCCTCCATCAAGGAACATCCAAACCAAACATAAGTTCGGCACAGCTGGCAAGACAGTGCCCAAATAATAATAGCTGAGATGTAATGGAATACTTGTGAGTGCATAGAGTAAGGTATTGAATAATAGAACGATGATAACATGATTATTGAGAGTACGACGAAGAACAGGATCAAATAGTAGATGATAAAGAACAATTAGACAGCAAATGATTGATAGAAGAAATGTGACGAAAAATAGCCAAAATCGAATGGGAAGAGAAATTGAGAGATCAACAAGTATATATGGATGATGATCTATCATTGTCAATAGTTTTCCTCTTAGCTTGATATCTTCTAAAAATAAAGAATACACATAAATAAAAATAACTCAACATAGAATTTCTTCCATTTCTTCTTCTCCGACGATTATACGCGAGTAGAAATCTTAAGAGAATATTAGTTATCAATAAAAAATACGCAATTTAATTTACTTTGAGAAAATGAAAAGTTTTGAAAGGAAACACTTTTAGCATTCTAATCTGATGAACTTATCTCATATGTCATTTGAACAGCTTAGCTTAGCTTTTGAGCATAATTTGAATAGTGAACTGATGTAGTCTGAAAGAGAATTGCACTTATAGCAAAATCAGAAGTTTATCGAGAAGATGATTATGTTGTGGATCGTGATAGAGAAGTTTTTAAGAACCGAATCACTATGAAATCCATTTCCATCATACAAGAAAAATCAGAGCAAAAAAGATGAGACTTCTATCTGTAAATCTCAAACTTATCTAATGGCAGTTCAATTTTACCATTTTCGTGAAATGATCATGTATATATTTTGTTGAAGGATTTATTCTGAATTCTTACCTATAATATGAGTTTAGATTGGCACGTTGATTAATGATGACGACGACTAAATGTGTGCATGTTTTTCATATTAATAGGTGACTCTCATATTAGAAGAGACGAACAACATGACAGACCATATTTATTTTCAGCAAAAAGAAATTCATGAAATTTTTAAATGTTCATTACCTTCAAATACACTTCCTATATTGCTATTTTTTTAAACTTTTCTGCTAAAAGCATCATCGAGAGGTGATTAATATCTTGAAAGAATGCATCACAACAATGAATATGTTTTACTCACATCTTGCTGACGGATTAGTTTTTCTTAGAGAACACAGCTCATAGAAATCACAGACGTATGAGATTTTGGTAATAAAAGAAAAAGCTTTATACATAGAATGCAACAGGATAGGAACCCTCTTTGCTATTAAAGATAAAAGATAAGTGACAATTGACAGTTTTTGATAGTCATGTGTCAAACATTTACTTATGTCAATCTGAAATAATATTGTTCAGATCTTATTTCCTTTGTAGTAAACAAAAAATATTTTCTATTTTTTACGAATAGATCTTAAGTGAAGATCGATCAAATAGTATGAAAAGATAGAATAAAAGACGCTCTACCTATTCGTAGAAAAAGAATATCTTTTTGTTTACTGTAAGAAAATAAGACCTGAACGACAGTATTTTGTAATTACTCTAAGTTTTTATAAAAAAATGTAAGATTAACATCAGAGTATTATTCAGGTGAAAACTCTATTTTCTTTTAAATCTTCAAAAAAAAGTATAATTTCCCGCCTCGTCAACATCGTTTCTTCAATATTGGCTAATGAATACTATAATGTTGAAGTTAGAAAGTCTTTTACAAACAATCAAGTCAATGTCTAATTTGTATCAATGATTTTTAGCGTACTTCTAATTTAGTAAAAAATTTTTTCTCTGAAAACTTTTAATAACAGTGTTTTAATCTATTATTAGTATTTCTATCCAACAAGTATTATAGAAGACATATTTGAGTTAGTTTACTAGTCGATTCAGAACCAAAACATATCTATATAGTACTCGCTATCAAAGATCTGAAACAATTATGAAAAGTACTCAATTAAAAGTTTTTTACCATCACTAAAGGATATCGTATTTTATATATTTTGATTCGTTATTGGTCTCTGATTTACAATTAGGCAAAAGTCATTATTTGTTCTTAAGCCAGTAGTGTATCGAATAAGTAATAACCTGATTCAATATCATGGTTAATTTTAAATTCATTTTTATATAAAACGAATAAACCTTCATTAGAAGGCGAACATTCTATCTAAGGATGCTACTTTATCTTTACTTTAAAAATACAGAACAAAGAATGATTTTTGTAAATTATAACAAAATAAATAAAACATTGTTACAACAATAAGCTTTGCCAATTAAAAACTGTTTCATAGTATAGAACTATTTTTTTTTAGATGTACGATGTCTATGTCATTAACACTCTCCATATTAATTTTTCATTTATTTTTCTTATAGAAAGCATATATTAGTCGTACAAAGTCAACCGATTTTATCTTGAGACAATCAAGTTATCGATGGACAAACAAAAATGTTCCAGAACAATGAAATTAACTATTTAGTGTCAGTTCACAGCTTGAATTATTCACACGAAGAAAAACACATAAAATGTATATCTAATTGGATTAGAATAAGTGTGAATAGTTGCCTTCATAATCAATTATCAACACATCGAAATTTTCCGCAGCAAACACTTAGATGTGTGAATTGTCGATTAAGAAAGTTTTAATAATAAATCTATTGTTCAAAATTCCTCCTTCTCCTATTAATAAATGTGTGCTATCTAGACAAGTGGATCAGTCGAAGAAATATTAAACAAAACATAACAAATCGTTATACTTGTTCAAATAATGTGTTCACAATGGTTGATTATATTCATGTTACTTCCATTCTTACAAGTGGCTCTTACTCGTATTATAGGTGAATATTCTAAGACGTATGTTTCGACATTTTTTAACTTTGATCTTGAGTGATACACAAAATACTCGAAGTGTTTGAATTTGTGTATGAAATAGTGAAACCGATCAAAACAAACTGTCAGCATTACAAAATAACTTCATGTTTGTGCTTGAACTAACTCACGATATGATTATTCTTCAGAGTATTGAGAAAGTTGATCAATCATAATCTCCAATAAAATTTATAAGGATATTTCAACTGTAAGAGAAAAGAATATAAATTATGAGGAATATAAGATATGACATGCACTAAAAGAGGAATAGTTTGAATGTTTTTTTTAATTTTAGGTCTTGATGAACATGTTGCAGGTGAAGATCTCAAAGAAGATCAGTTTGGGATCGCAAGCTCCTATTTTTATAAGCTGAAAAATAAATATTCGGGTTCGAATCGTACATTAGAGACCATCATCACCGGCGACAATCCAGAAGACATCAAAATGAGTCTATTTCATAACTATGACATTGGATATTGGCGCTTTATTCGTTTGAGTAACAATAAATACAGAATACAAAATTATGTCTACGGTGGTAGTATGTCACTTGACATCGTTAAGTATAAAATGAAATACAAACTACACATGAATGAAACGGCTGATATCTTAGGACAGTATTGGCATCTAACGCATTTATCTGATGGATCATTTAGATTCACAAACGATTTTTCAGGTCCGAAAATGGCTTTAGACGTTCAAGCTGATACGCACAAACCCATAATGTCAAAAATAGCTGCCAACCATCTTGGACAACACTGGATCTTTACGAAAGCTGGAAAGTACAGAAGTGATTGATTGTTTTGCTGAAATTTTAAGCTTTGCTCTGGTTCATTGAACTCTCTAAATATTATTTCATAATCAAGCGTTAATTGTTTTGTGTATTAGTTAAAAATAGCATATACTTAATATCTACGTTCTTCTTCAATCGATTTGTTTGTTTATTAATCTTACAAATATAAAAACTTAGATCTTAATTCAATAACAACAATAGTTTTAAGTGCGTCGTAGTAGTTGGTAGAATTTTGCAAATATGTTCATACTTAAGTGACAGTACACGAGAAAATCAAGGATTTTTGGTATATTGCAGAACATGTGGGTTAACGAGTTCTGGATCCGACTTGATACGAACTTTGGCATTGTTGACCCATACCACCCCCAAAAATGACCTCAAAAAATGAGCAAAATCATGTTTTTTTATTTTCTGAATTGTTTTTCATATAAGTTCGACTCTAATCAAATTGAGTCATATACTAGTCGATAGAGTTTTACTTGCTTTACAAAATTACCTATATGGCATTTTCCGTTTATCTCAAAATGTAAGGGAAAAAATCCAAATACACTGTTTTTGTCACCTTCAGAAAGTCCATCAGTGAGCAGTATTTTGCCCGAAAGATCTAGTGAGAAATTGATTGAGAATGTGGGTTTAATACTGGGTGGGAGTGATCACGATAGTAGTTAGAGCCACACCCACACCCTCAAGATTTTTCTCCAGTTCTGTGTAAATGAGCATACGTGTAGATCGAAGATATTCGATTATCGTTGAATCCGTTGCAAGCTGATCAGGAAACTTGTTATTATTTGTTTTGGCTATTATTCCTGCATTAGCATCACCATAAGAAAGCAATAGATCAATCATTGTTACAGATTGATTGAAAAGACATGCTATATGCAAAGGAATGAGTCCCTGATTTGTCACTAACTTCTTTGTATTGGAAGTAACTAATTTTATTAATAATTCGAGATTATTATCAACAATGGCATAGTGAATGGGATAGAGATTCTCCCAAGAGACTGGTAGGATTCTGGATGAATAATGGATAGAAATACTAGGTAGAAATGAGCCAGCATAGGTGAGAGAACATGAACCATATTTGTTAACAGGTGCACCATCGTCGAGTAAAGCTTGAATTGTTGGCATCGAACGTGATTGACAAGCAAACATAAATGCTCCACGCATAGTAGAACGCGAATGACCACCGGGGGAACCTTGATCAACTTCAGTACCAGCATTCAACATACATTGTACAATATCTCTATGGCCAAGAAGACATGCACGTTGATAAGCTGTTTGTGCTTCTTCGTGTGGTGATGACCATTCGGAAGGGAAAAGACGAGGTATTTGACATAAGTGTTGAAGTTCATCTTTCTTGAAATTCTTCACAATAGACACTTTATTTGTTTCGATAGCATCGAAAGTACTTCTTCGTTAGAGGCATTATTTAATTCGGAAGAACTAGTTTTATGATCGATCGTATTACTTTCTTCAGAGGCCATTATGTATGAATGAATATTTGTGTTTTGTAACTTGCATCAGTTTTGTTTCATTCTTTTAATCTTCTTGATTTTTTTCAATATATTGCACAACTTTATTGCAACACATACAGAACGAGTAGACTATTAGTTTTTGTTGAATGCACATTAATTGTTTCATTTCCTATATCTTTTTATTTCTGATCCTGGAAAGATGCAACAAAATAAAAACTAATATTAATAATGAAGAACACGTGTTTTTAGTAGAATTTCTTTAGTCATTATATTCCTATGAAAAACATGTCTGTTATCCTAAACGTCTAGTTAATATTTAATGAAGAGAAATCATTTGAAAGATTTCGAGTAAGCATGAGTCCACTGAAATCTAAAGAACATTTCTATAAATACAAGTTTTTAAAAAATTGCTTGCAATATGATTCCTTCTTATACTCCGTCTGATGGAAAAGAACACCAGATGAAAGTAGGGTTGTGTACAGTAGAAAATATTTTTTTCTTTCATTCGGTTGTTGATCATAATGCAAGCATAGAGTTTGTCACTTTCGTTTCTTCATTTGGCATCGTACATATTTTGGTGTAAGTGTTCGGAATAGCAGGAGACATTCTATTTTTCATTATCAAATTTACACTTATTCCATACGTTAAAATGAAATGTAAGTATTGAACAACAGATTGTTTTGTTTAAACAATTCTGTCCTATATACGTACTCAAACCAACAATTTAGATTGTTGATAATGTCATTGCTAAAACAATAAATCAGGTTACAAGAGTAATTGTTAATCCTTTTGTTTTTTTTTCGTTACGCTAAATATTCTATAAGAATTTAGTTGATTTCAACAGAGAATGATTAAAACTTTGAAAAAATGGTTTACATGTGCAAATAACATATCTGAAAAGTCTTTCTAAAATGACTTCTCTTGTATTTAAATGTTTGCTACTTACTACACCATCTAGTGTACTTTTGAATGTGATTTTCGGAACGAGAAATAGACAATATACTATCCATATAGATCGAAAAGATTTGTACATCATGTTCCGAGTGATATTACTTTGAAAGGTCATGTTGACAAAAAAAAGGTGAGAGCCGAAAAATGAGTACATACGAAAGAAGAGATAAATGGTGACTATGAAAAATAAGAGGAAAAAAGAAAAATAATAGCTTTAAATGAGTAATGCTTCTTCTGTTCTTGATTGCATTTTTATTTTTTATTTTTAGCATCTGAATATGATTTAATATTTTTCTCTTTTCTCTTGCTTTCACGAGCTGTTTCAAGTTTGTTAACTCAACCGTCCCTCTAGGACCGATATGAGCAGAGAATCTTCTCAAGCGAATAAAAAAAAATAGACAATATACTTTGTAAAAAGTGTACAAAATATTTTGTCTAATTTGATAATAAATACGTAGACACATGTGAACATGCGCAGAATGAATGATTTTAGCCAATATAGTCTTATGTTTATATATGAAATCTGATCACTGAAGCATGAAAAAATATAATTTGTGACAAAAAAAGGCCTATAATATATTTCTTTCTGAATATATTTATGTATAGTGACACGTTGAGTATCTGAAAATAAAATAGATTAAAAGAATTTAATGTTTATTTTAGAGAAGAAATCAATATGAGCGTTCCAGAACAACCATCTGAAATTGTCAGTACGTAAATATATATATTTATAATAAATTCTGTGAATTTAGGATGATCATAAAATAACTCTTACTGAGCTTTATCAACGCTACAATACTGATCCAAAAATAGTGAGTATAAAAAATCAATTATTTTCGCTCCGAAATATATTTCATCTTCATAGGGTCTAACAGATGCGAAAGTAGAAAAAATTTTTAATCATTATGGTCCTAATATTTCATCACAATTGAAGACAACAGCTGAATGGATGAAACTTTGTCGTCATTTATTTGGTGGATTTTCATTTTTGTTTTGGATTTGTGCGTGTCTATGCTTTATTGTGTATGGTCTTACAACTACGACATATCATGACAACGCATTAGTCAACTACGTGCGTAGTATTAATTATTTTTCTTTTTATTTGTATATGTAATGAACACTCTAGTTATGGCTCGGCATAGTGTTTGTTTTCATAATAATTATCAATGGCTTTTTTTCATATTATGAAGAATTGAAAAGCTCACGAATCATGGATACAATGAAAAACATGTAAGATGATTAAAATTTTTTGGTTTCTTTATTTATATTTTTCTATTATATAGAACCTCACAAGTAAGCGATCACATTGGGTATTATTATATAATCATCCTGTTTTCTTAATCTAGCGAGTACTTGTTCTTCGTAATGGCGAAAAAAGGGAAATAGATACGAAAGATTTAGTAATAGGTGATATTATTGAAATCAAGTCTGATGATATTATACCCGGTTCGTTTTTTTCTAAGAAGAAAAGTAAACTTTCATGTGACTTTCTGCATATAAATAGCTGATATTCGCATTATCGAATCGGATAACTTCAAAGTTAATATTTCTTGTTTGAGTGGAGAATCACAATCACAATCACGTTCAACTGAATTCACCAATGAATCTACATATGAAGCGGAAAATTTGGCTTTTTATAATACTATAGCAACGGAAGGTTTGTATGATATTTCTGACACAATATTTTGCTAATATTTTAAGAATAATTAGGCACTGCTACAGGTCTTGTCATTCGTACGGGGAATTATACTGTAATGGACAGAATTTCTAAATTAACGTCGAATGCACCTACAGATGACACACCGCTTATTAAAGAGATTTCTCAGTCGACTTATAGGATCACCTGTGTAGCCATCATTCTTGGTATATTTTTCTTCATAATCGCACTTAGTCTTGGTTATCCATTGATCGAATCAATCATTCTTCTCATTGTTGTTATCATTGTTAATGTACCGAAATGTCTATCTGTCACTGTCACGGTAAATAGTAACTGTTGAAAAAGAATTAGAAATGAATTTTTTCTGTTTGATTCCTGTTTTAGATATGTTCATCACTGATAGTAAAAAGAATGGCTAGGAAAAATTGTTTGGTGAAAAAATTGGAAGCTATCGAACTTCTCGGTTCAACATCGATCATGTGTGTGAATACAACTGGAATATTGACACAAAATCAGTTGGCAGTTACTCACATGTGATTCGATAATAAAATTGTTCAAGTAAACATCGGTGAAAAGCAAGATTGTGAGCTATTCTTTGGCAATAAACATAAAAAAAAATGAATTAGAGATATTTTTTAGTATCTACCTTCGACAAAAATTCATCAACTTTCTTGGATCTAGCTCGTTGTTCCGTGCTTTGCAATCGAGCTGATTTCAAACAAGATTCGGAAAATTTAGCACGATCAATCTTAGAACGTGAATGTATTGGTGTTTTGTCTGAAATCGCTGTACTAAAATACATTGAACTATCAGTTAGTAGATTTTTTTTAGAGGTTATTCTTTCATATAATATTTTTTGTTTGTCTGTATAGAATGGTAATGTGAATAAAGTCCGTCAGACAAATCCAAAAGTGTGTGAAATTCAATTTAATTCAGCAAATAAATATCAATTATCGATCCATGAAATGCATATTAATAATGAAAGTGTAGACAATTCTTACTCTTATTTGTTAGTAATGAGAGGAGCTTTTGAACAAATTATTGAACGATGTTCAACAATTTCTATCGATGGTGCAGACTTGGAAATGAACGAGTGTAAGTGTGCTTTTGCTATAGTTAAATATGATTCATAATCTTTATTAAATATTGATAGACTGGCGAGCTGTATGCGAACGTACGTTTTCAGAGTTGGGTAATTTAGCAGTACGAACAATGACCTTTTGTGACTTACGTTTACCAGCTAAGGAATATCCAATCGAATATTCATTCAATGTGGATGAAGTCAATTTTCCTACAAAAAATCTTCGTTTTCTTGGCCTTGTAGGGATGACTGAATCGCTGAAGAGAGATATTCCTGACATGTCAGTATCATCAAATTTTTCATCGAATGACCTTGCTTTTCTTACTGTAGGATAAAGAAATGTCGTTTGGCTGGAATCAAAATGATTATGATAACGGATGATAATGCAGTTGTTGCGAAGGCTACTGCACGCGCTGCGAACATCATTTCGAACGATTCCGAAACAATAGAAGATATAGCAGAACGCTTGGGCATTCCTGTAGAATCAGTCAATTCGAGTGACGCTAAAGCTTGTGTTATTCAGGGTAAAGATCCCCATGACAAATCACTAGAAGACGTTGATGAATTGCTAGACAATTATACAGAAATTGTTTTTGCTCGAATATCTCCTCAACAAAAATTCAGTATTGTTAAAGGTAAGTAAGATATTATTGACGGAAAAAGATTAAGATCAATGCTCTGTTTAGCATGTCAACAACAAGGTGGTATTGTGACTATGGTAAGCAAGGCTACCAACGACATACGAGCTTTGTATCAAGCTAGTGTCAAAGTAGTTATGGGTTTGTTTACATTTTTCTCTTTTTTAATATCTTGAATAATTTGATTGATGTATGTAGGTATGGCCGGTACAAATGCATGTAAACAAGCAGGAGATATACTTCTGGCAGATGACGAGTTTGCTTCAATTCTGACGGGTGTAGAACAAAGTCGTCAACTGTTTGCTAACTTGAAAAAATCAATTGTCTACACTATGACATCAAACATTGCCAAAATCATGTCACTTCTGATTTGTTTATTAACGACTGTACCGTTAGCATGGGGAATCATTGCTGTTTTGTGTATCGATTTCATTAATATAACAGGAGCCATTTCATTAGCCTACGAGAAAGCGGAAACAGAGATTATGAAGAGACCACCAAGAAATCCAAAGAAAACTCGATTTATAAACGAACGGTAGAGAACATATTATATTGAATTGAACAATGAAAATATCAATTATTTTTTCTTTTAGTTCTATATTACTAACTTCCAGTTTCATAGGTATCATTCAAGTAGCTAATGGATTCTTTGCTTATTTTTTAATCATGAACAACAACTCCTACGGTCAACAATGGGTTCGTATTTATTTATTTATTTATTTAATTTAAAGAAAATTTCTTTCTTCAGAATGATGAACAACGAAAACAACTCGAATTTTCATGTTACATTGCTTTCATTATTACTGTCATCATTTGCCAATGGGCGACATTGATCATATTCAAAACTGGACGAAATTTCATTTTGCAACAAACCGTCAAGTAAGTTCGTTGTAAAAACTGAAACTATGTCAATAACAAATTAATCATAAATTTTAGTATGAGATTTGGAGCTATTCTGGTTGCAATTATTTCTTACATAATATATAATAATACTACTTATCCATTCAAGTAAGAATCAATATCATTTCTATTTTTACCTTTTAAATTTGTTTTCACATTTAGATTTGGCTGGTGGTATCCGGCATTGTTCTATGTTTTTCTAATGTTGATCTTTAATGAAGTGCGAAAATACATTGTTCGCAAACATCCTGGCAGTGTGATGACAAGAACAATTTCTTATTAGATCTTTCAAAATTATTTAGTGACACTTAGACTTTTTTTACTAATCTATAATTATTATTCAGTTTATTCTTTTCAATTCTAATGTTTTACTAATCAAATCTTACTTAGTTGATATGCTTTTATTTAACCAATACATTATATAGATGAAAAACAATTACTTTAAAATGTCTTTTATTGAAGAGGGTGTAGGTGTGAGTGCGAGTGAATTTATCTTTCGGACTCATACCCACACCCATCCTCTGACATTTGTCTAATCATTTTCAGTATATAAATAATATTTTTAGGGATGAAAACTACATTGATATAAACTTTTATTAAATAACAAAGCTGAGAAATTTGTATGAGAACTTTTTTTAGAAACAATATTTTCGAAACTGATGAGATCTCGTCTTCATCTTAAGTGTTCTTCGTTTTTCAACAGGTTAATAGTTTGATCGATATTTCTCGATTAATTGTCAAAGCGAAGCGAATACTATATCAATAAATTAGAAAAGTTCTGAAATAATGAAGAAATATTGATTATGAATGAATTAATCGTCGCGGTCGTCTGAATGTTTCTTGAAATTTTTTTCTGTACAATGCTGAAGGAAGGACAAAGATAATAAAGATAAGCATCGATGGAGTAAATGAAATAAAATAACCAAAAATAAATAATAATCGATGGTTAGATGGATTGATACATTCTGATAACATTGACATAATCAGACGGGGTAAGGACAGAATTAGAAGAATAATTGGACTAATTAATAATTGTTTGTGCTCACTAAATTGATTATAAATATGTTCTCTTGGAGTTCGACTTGTCTGAGCTGTTGATCGTTGTTGGGCTAATCCAAATATGATGAATAAAGCAGAACCAAGATTGATAATACATGGACCAATAAGATGAAAAAATAAGATGATTGTATTGTATTGTTGAACAGAAGGAGAATAACGAGTTAAACACCATCTGTTGATATCCACTTTGTTTGTCTCTGTATTTACTTCATGTAATTCTCGATGAATAGGTTCGTGAATGATTGAACCCATGATACAGAATGATAAGATAAGAATTATCCATCGAGCAATGCGTTGACTTTTCTGTTTATTGAAGTTGATTCCTGTGAAAACGAGAATCGCTCTTTCAATGGCTACACAAGCATTGAGCCAAGCATCTACATATAGACAAAGCGTGAGAAGTGGTTCGATCAGTATGCACCCTCCTCGAAAAACAGAAAGACGAATTGATAGATCCATTTGAGTGAGAACAACAAACCAAAACTTTAGTACAAACATGCTGATTGTAAGAATAGAAGTAATTGATGATGCGAAGAGATAAATCCCACATCCAAATTTTCGTAAATCTTTACTTTGAAATGTTAATAGAGACAAAATACTATTGATTAAACCTCCAATAAACATAATCATCGTTAAAGCGGCATTGATTTTCACCAATATTGTTTGGTCAGTGAATGTCATGTTCGATCGAATTTCATCGCGTAAAATATCATCGAGAGTGATACCAATATTTTTTTTGTAGAACTGACATTTTTGACCAATGAAACAACTGGTCAGACTTTGCGTTAAAGAGAGAAATACATGGCATGTCGTGTTGAGATTACATTTCTACATTCCTATTTTCATCCGATTGGAAGAAAAACTATGCGATCTATCTGAAATTCTCAAATCTTTTATTATTCAAGAGAGAAAATGGAGTGTAGTGGGCTGTTGTAATTCACTGTTGATGATGTACAAATAATAGAAAATACTTACTGTAAGGAGCAAATATGATATTATTTGGACCATATGTCAGAATGGAAAAGTTTCGTGCCGTATTTGGAGAAGATATTGTCACTACTAAAATATATTTTGTGCCAGTGTGAAGATAAACGATGAACATGAAATCTTGATCACTACAGCTTCGATAATTCTGTGAGAGTAGATTCTCGAAAGGATTCATTGGATTGAATTCATCTTTTTAGATATCACCAAATGTACCCATACTGCTCGAACTACTCAGAGCATATAGCATCCAGTTTCCACTACGTTCATTCGTATAGTTTCATAATAATAGTCTGATTTTTGACAATCTCGAGAATATGTTTGATTATTCGTAGTCAATTTTGATAAATATTTGGATTCTACAGCTAATGAATATGGTAGTCGTGTAACTGATGAAGAACCTATATGGTGAAAACAAAAACAACAGTCAATATTCATGATAGATCTTAATTGATTGAGACAAAGAAAATTGAGCGTCATAAGTCATGTCTCACCACAGTAAAACTAGAATCCGTCAACATTTTTCTGTGCTCGAAGCCCCGATAATATTAGTCACATCAAATTAGCGATCGATTGTCCTGATCCTATTTACAATATTCTGTTATTTGATATATTTAATGTGATTGTTTGTGTATAGCTCTCCTCTTACAATGTAGTGCAAGTACTTACTAATATTCTTGAGATCAACATTATTTGGACCGGATACAAAGATTGAAAATGCTCCTGTCGTATAACCTTGAGATGTTGCCACAATCAATATATATGTACTAGTAGTCTGAAGAGCAATTGTGAATCTAAACTGACGTGGTTTGCAGCTTTTATCATTGTACAAGAGTTGATTTTCAAATGAATTGAATGGATTGAAATAGTTTTTGTAAATAGAGGCGTATGCGTCCATATTACTTTTGCTGAAGAAAGTGTAAAGACCAGTTCTACGAACATTCACTAGTATCGCTTTATAGTAAGAACTTAACCATGAACACCGAGGAAAATATGTTGGACTGTTTGCTGTCAGTTTTGATGCATAAACTGTTTGCACAGCTGATGGAGTATTCACTAATGAAAAAGAAAATCGATTCAATTTTGCATAATATAGAAACAAGTGTAAACAATTTACAATATTACTTTCTCTCTCAGATATATTTACCGAAAGCGACTGAAAATGATTATTTATTATTTTGTAGATTGAATTTATCTATATTTTCTACCGATGATATACATGTGCCGCTGATTATCCATTAAAGTACTATAGATATACTCACAAATACGACTGAAATTGATGTAACTTGGGCCGAATGCTTGAATTGAAAAGTTCCCTGTTAAACTTCGAGAAGATGTTGTTATAACGACAGCATATATTATCTTGGTTTGAAGAGCAACTGTGATTTTAAATTGACCTTGATTATCAGAGTCTTCACCATGGCTCAGTACATTTTTGGACACATCGAATGGATTGAAGTTATTCGTGTAGATAAAAGCGTCCATGGTTTTCATCTCGCTGTTGATTAGAAAACTATAATATCCAGTTATAGTGACGTTCATTTGTATTGCTTCATAATACGAATCTAACTCTGAACAATCTTCATAATAAATTGAACTGTTTGGTGTCAGTGATGATAAACACATTGATTCTATTAGTGATGAGTTATCTATTGAATGAAAGAAATCAATGAGTATTTGCATTTAGAATAAAGAAAAATATCCTTAGTTTGCTTTTCACTCTATTTACTGATAAGAAGTTAATCGTTTGTTTTAGAGCAAAGTTTTCAATAGAGAAATGAAATAAAATATCTATTTAGTGTCCTTACAATAAGTATCGATCTTGAGGATGTGGGTGTGGGAGGGTGGGTATGAATGAGAGTGTGAGTAAGATTGGGTGAAAGTGTGAGTAAGAGTGAAAAGAATATTACCCGCACTCACCACACCAACACTCTCACCTAGTATGGGCTTTGAACATAATTTTATATACGAAATCAAAAGCTTTGCCATGATCTTTATAGAAATAATATACCATGTCTGGAAACAACAAGTCAATCAATTTGTTTTTTTGAACTAAACAATTCAAAGATTTTTCCAATTTGATACCATATAACTCGTTTTATCACTGGTAGTTATGACAATATTTTATAATTTCAACACAGTTTAACAATAGAATGACTCACTGTAGAGAGATGCATTCTCTAAATGAGTTAGATTGGAGTCTAGAAGAAATGAGAATCATCACTTTAGGATATATAACAGAAGTTTCTGTCAACTTGTATATCTGTTGTTTCACTCTCTTTTATTCAACTAAAACTCTAATCAATACTGTCATTTTTGTGCAATAGTTGATCTTGAGTATGTGATAAATAAAAGTATTTACCTGTTGTTTCATTACTGGGAATGAACAGAAGAATTATGACAAATGCGTAGTTATTCCACATCATTCCACGAGATTCTTTTTTCGATAAATTAGTTAACTAATAAAATAATCTTCTTTTTCTTCTTTGTTTTTGATGAAAACAAAATCACACTCATTGTAGATTTTCTCTCTAGTTATATCTCTCTCTCTCTTTCTCTCTCATTCATTTCTTCCAACCTAATATACAAAGAGAAAAAATAGTTTTCTAGAGAAGGTTTCATCGTAGGTTAGTTTTGAAAAAATTATATCTAGATTGGACTAACGAACAAAGTTGATCATTTAATTTCATTCGTTTTCAGATTCGAAAATACAGAATGAAATTTAAATTTAACATAATCTTTTTTTTCGATTTTATAGAAAATCTTTGATTTTAGTGAAGAAGGACGTGATGAAGAGAAAGAAGAGAACTGATGAAAATCTGCATTAATCATCGGACGTGTTTTAACTGAAAATAAGATATCAACTATCATCGTCAATAAATGATTAACGTCAATGAATAAGTCATGATTAGTTTGATATTATTTTTTTGTTTGACTCTGTTAAATAATCTGCTTTTTCAGGATTCACTTTTAATCACGTTCTTTATTTCTCTATGCGTAATAAATATATTTGTATCAGATAAATAAAAAAACAGAATTATTCATTACGATACGATGTATTCTTCTAAGAGACATGAAAAAAAGACGCATAAATTCAACTAGAAATTCAATATATACAAAAGCAAAACTCTGTGAATAGATGGGTGGATCTTATGAATTAGTAGAAAAAGTTCTATTCACACATAATGAAAGCCTTGAAGCTCAGATCAATTATTTAATATTCCTTGCAGTCTGACATTGGTGAGTTGTCAATGACGATGAACATCTTTGATTCAGATTGATTTTAAGAGTGTGGGTGTGTGTGGAAGATGATTATATTTTCTACATCTTTGCGTATGCGCGCATACTCACACCCTTCATTGATAGTGGGTGGATGCGGGTGTCTTCTCTCGTCATCCACACCCACACCCACACCCTAATGAGCAAAGAGAAAAGTCCATCGTATTTTGATGAAGAATTCACAGAGAGACATCGCATCCTCGTGTATTCCTGGTGGTTATGCCACTAATTAAACAATAAGTTAAACAAGGAAAATATCAATTCTATATGTATTGATTTGTTCTATGAGTTAAAAATTGAGAACAGTTAGAGAAACGATTTAAATGAAGATGTTTAAATGTATAATACAATGTATAAATTACAAAATGAAGTGTCTTGACTATTGAATCTATTAGAGTAATGTATCAAAATATATTGATTACCATTATATATAAAGTGCTTGAGATAACCTTTTCTCGATAGTTATTCTCTTTTCTTTCTGTTCTGTATCTTTGTAGCTTACAGTTTGAGTCTAGTACTAGTTCTATATGTGCCTCTCTGTTTCTTCTTTTTTTGTCTGTTCTTTGCCATCGACTATATCATATTATTATTTTGTGTTTGTTTTTATGTTACGTTGGTAGAGCAATTGCTTGATAGAAAGTTGTTGACTAATAGGGGAAAATACATAATCTGTCCCATCATATGAGACAGAAAGAAAAGTATTAATCTAAATTGATAAGACTTTTTTTTGCAGCTACTACTACTATAGAAGGTAAGTTCTACGCTAAGTCTTCCACTTGAATTATTTGAATAATAAATAAATGATTTTTCAGGATATCTAAGTATGTTACGAAACAATTATTATTTTCTTGCAGAATATATATGAGCTGATGGAAAATCATCGTTTGCGTGCTATTATATTGAAATTACAAGATCGTCTTAGTAATGATGATCGAAAACGCTTGCATTTCTATCTTGGCAATGATGTACCACGACGAATTCGAGATGATCCAACACTTAGTGGAACACTTAATCTTATGGATTCTCTTTTCGACCAAGATAAAGTCAATGAAAAAGATTTTACTTTTCTAATAAATGCATTTGATGAAATTCAATGTATTGATGCTGTAAAATTATTAAGAGGTATATTTTTTTGTTTTATTCATTTTCTATTATATTTTATTAATCTAGAACATTGGAGACACAATCAATCAGATGCACATAATCAATCAGTTGAAAGTTTAACGATGATAATGCCACCAATGATAAATCAACTTCTTGAAGATCAAGATGAAGATAAATATTCTATGCAACAACGTAAGTGTTTAATTATAGTTATATTTTATATTTATTCGAAATCTAATTTAGTTCTTGTTAATCAGAAAAATATTTGTGGTAATAACAATGTAATGATCAATAGTAATAATACAAATATTAATCAAATACCAATTGTGAATTTTGATGAAAAACCACAGCATTCAGCATCCAAAAGGAAACAATTATTGAACCCAAAAAAGGTGCTATGGAAATGTTTATTATTATTTGCGTTATTATCGATTGTTGGATATGGAATATTAGCATTTTTTTGTATTCAGAATTTCGTTGATCTTGGTCGGTTGAAAATATCGCATAGTCTATCTATTGGACAAATTCAACTGTTAGAAACATCGAATAATCAATCTATTGAAACAATTCAACAATTGAAGCATAAAATGGAACAAATCAACAAACCACGTAATTATTATATTCGCGTTGTATTTAAAACTAAACTCGACTTTATTATTTATTTTCTTATGATAGCAAGAAAGTCAGTTGAATAGTTCGATTTTTTAATGAAACATCTGTCAAACATAAATTTCCTCCACAGTCATATCAAATTCGTGTTATTAGGAAATATATAGTTAAATAAATTATCTATGTTATTTGAATATACTTGATATACTTATTTTATTTCAGCACCATTACGATCACCTGCTATTGATATTTATCCCAATGCAAAATGGTCACAAAATGGTGTCACTGTAGCTGGAGGAAATTCAGGAGGCAGTGGAATTAATCAACTCTCCCAGCCACTAGGTTTATATGTTGATGATAATGAAACTGTCTATGTCTCTGAGTGGTCAAATAATCGTATTACGGAATGGAAATCAGGTACAAAGACTGGTCAAGTAGTTGCTGCTGGAAATTCGACTTACAAGTTAACAAGTCCAAGAGATGTAATTGTGGACAAAGCAAGCAATAGTCTCGTCATCTGTGATCGTTCGAATAGAAGAGTTGTTCGATGGCCTCGTGGAAATGATACAAGAGGAGAAACGATCATCTCAAATATCGATTGTTGGGGTTTAACAATGGGCGAAAAAGGATCTCTCTATGTCACTGATGATAAGAAACATGAAGTGAGACGATATGAAAGAGGAGAATCAGAAGGAATAGTAGTAGCTGGTGGTAATGAAGGTGGAAGTCGTCTCGATCAACTGTCTCATCCTTCATATGTATTTGTCGATCGTGATAGTTCAGTGTATGTATCCGATCATAACAATCATCGTGTGATGAAATGGGAAGAAGCTGCAAAACAAGGAATTATCGTAGCTGGTGGTCATGGAAAAGGAGATAATGTTACACAATTGTCTTCTCCTGAAGGAGTTGTTGTTGATCGATTAGGTACAGTGTATGTAGCTGATGCAGATAATGCTCGAATCATACGTTGGATGAAAGGAGCCAAACAAGGAAATATCATTGCTGGTGGAAACAATAGAGGAGGACAATCGAATCAACTGAATGGGCCTATCGGTTTGTCATTCGATAGACATGGTAATATCTATGTCGGCGATTTGGGAAACGATCGAGTACAAAAGTTTAATTTATCTTTAAATGAATAAGACTACTTTTTTTTATACATTAAATAAATAATAATAATCATGATGAATTAATTGACTTGTATTTCTTTGGAGTGTCTGCTTCTCTCAGGTGCCTCACCATTTTATAATAGTCATTTTACATATAAAGGCCTGAGTGAAAATCGGCTATTACGACTATCTGGTCAAATCAGATAATAACATAAGGTATTGTTCTCAACATGTTTGCCTCTCTTTTTAATTTTTTGTTGTATGCTTTCTCTACTTCAATACACTCTCAAAATGCAAGGTAGAACACACATATACATTCCTTATTGTAGTATGCATCATCTTCATAAATAAATGTCTTTCTTTTGTATTTTATATAGCTATTCCGTCAATGCTTACTTCTCTTACGGTAACATTGGTACTATCATATCTAAATAATAATAGAGTTGCTAAACTTGTCGATTCCAATCACTCGACGACTACTCATGTGAATCGAAATAAAATTAATTCATCTATTCAAGGTTGTTTCATTGGTGCTTATGATTTCTCATTTTTAAATCAGAATAATGGTAGTGGGTGTGGGTGTGGGTGAGGGTGTTGTATTCTTTTCATATTCATACTCACACCCTCAACTACACCCACACCCACACCCTCAAGATGGCTAGGAGCCACTGATAAAATTTATACGAATGGAAAAAATGTATTTTTTTGTGTAGTTTATTATGATGCTAGATTAGACGAACAACAATGCTAGATTAGAAGAACAAAAAATAAAATGTTTATAGACGATGTTCAATATGCTGTTGTTACCAATTCATGTGCTGTTGTACGTTGTTGATGGACTTTTGTGGCAGTCATCATGGAGATATTTGCTTGCAATATTTGCCGTCGCTGACAAACACGCCGAGGCAATACTCTGATTAACGCTTTAATAAATGTTTGCCTAAAGAAACGTGAGGACAATAGAGAAAGATAAAATGATTTAACATTATTTAAATAATAAAATTTATTTGTAAGACTATAGGCAAAACTAATAATAGCCGTTTGTTCAGCAGTTCTGACACCATTGATAGGGATAATATAATACGTATACGTTATTATCCATTGTAATGAAATGAAAGCTGTTACTAAAACTTGTAAGAAGATCATAGCCATGAACTGATTTCGAGAATGATGTGATCGTAATGTTGCAGTTCCACCCTAAAATAAATGATCATTATCTATTTAAAGAGAGAATAAATGAACTCACTACTCGTTGACGACTCCGACGAACATTTCGAAAAGTAAGAAGGACAAAGATCAGCATTGCCATCGGTTGCGAGATACCATTGATCACAATATAAATAATACCATTGAGTACTGGTTGGGTTACTACACATCCTGATGGAATTTGATACTCATAAAGAATGCATGCACGCACTGAAGCAAGAATACTGAAGATGATAGTAATACCAATCAATCGTGGAACCATTTTAAGTTTGTTGAGATGACGTATAGATGACGTAAGCTTACAAGTACTAGCATATCGATCAATAACAGACATTAACAAGAAATTAATTGATAAATGAGGAAGAAATCCAATTAAAAATATATATAATTTGCACATGCTAGGTAATTTTATCCATGGAATATATATTCCATAGATTCCACTCAAATAAATTGCAAATGAATTGTAAAAAAGATTAATAACATCAACAAGTGAACCACAAAGTGAATATATACAGCATGTATTCCAACGAAGTTCACGTTGAAGATATGTTAAACTATTACCAATAAAACCGATCAGACCAAATATGGCGAATACTAATGGTAAATGATTCACAAATCGTGTTGACAAAAGATTGAGAACAACTATCGTGTTCGATACTTCAGATGAGATGACGGTAGATGTTGTGTAGTTATATGACATTATAATGAATCAGTAAAGAAAAAAACGACTGTCTTATTTCTAATATATATATAAACTATTATTTTCACCCTCTAGAGTTTAAAAACGGTTGAATAAGTCTAAGAAAAAAAGTAAAACAGAACACAAGAACATAAATAGAATATCTCAACGTTGTTATAATCTTTGAACAAACAAAATTAATATATTTTGACAATTAGCTTTCATAGAAAAAAGCTGATTGTTACTACATAGACCATAAATAAAAAGTGGATCAATGTTGATATCACCTCCTGCTGTTCTTTCCTATGTTTCATTTCTCTCTCATTCAAAATTATGTTATTTTTCAGATAGGAAATTCTGTAGATATGAATTAATTCAATAAACATCATTATCAAGGATAAATTATTATCCTAGTTTGTCCTTAGAAGTAGATAAATTTTACTCAAAAATTGCCCGCTTTAAAGAAAAACATACAGATACATTCTGTATTACTTGACTGAAATTTTATTTTGGTCTAAATAAAAGATAGTTTGACACATTTACAGACCGATTACGCTTTCGTATATGAAATAAGGGATGAACCAATAAACTGTGTATAATGAAGCAATGATAAATCAGATTTAGACGGTCAATTCGTCATAACAATCCCTGTCATGTGTATGAAACAAACAAAACAATGAACATGAATAATCCGCGATGAGTTAATCGATTTTCTGTGAGAGAATAATACACATTTCTACTTTCATTTGAGGAGTCAAGCAAGCAACGAGTAAAGAGTTTTTTCATAAAAACAATAATTAGATATAAATAAACAGACGAGACTACTTTTTTGAGTTCTTTTCTTTAAAATTGAATAGATG